AGACATGCTGAACGTCTTTTCATGTGCCTGTTGGCCATCTGTGTGTCTTTGTTGGAAAAATGTCTATTCAGTTCTCTGGCGTTTTTAATCAGGTTTTTTTTTTAAAATAAATTTATTTTTAAAATTTTTGGCTGCGTTGGGTCTTTGTTGCTGTGCGCAGCCTTTCTCTAGTTGTGGTGAGTGGGGGCTACTCTTCGTTGTGGTGCACGGGCTCTAGGTGCTCGGGCTTCAGTAGTTGTGGCACACGGGCTCAGTAGTTGTGGCTTGCAGGCTCTAGAGCGCAGGGTCAGTAGTTGTGGTGCATGGGCTTAGTTGCCCCGCAGTATGTGGGATCTTCCTGGACCAGGGATTGAACCCGTGTCCCCTGCATTTACAGGCAGATTCTTAACCACGGCGCCACCAGGGAAGTCCCTGTTTGGTTTTTTTGATGTTGGGCTGTATGAGCTGTTTATATATGCTGGATATTAACCCCTTATCAGTCGTATCATTTGCAAATGTTTTCTCCCATTCAGTAGTCCACCTACTTTCTTTTTCTTTTTCTTTTTTTAACATCTTTATTGGAGTATAATTGCTTTACAATGTCTTGTTAGTTTCTGCTGTATAACAAAGTCAATCAGCTATACATATACCTATATCCCCATATCGCCTCCCTCTTGCATCTCCCTCCAACCCTCCTTATCCCACCCCTCTAGGTGGTCGCAAAGCACCGAGCTGATCTCCGAGTGCTATGCAGCAGCTTCCCACTAGCTATCTATTTTACATTTGGTAGTGTATATATGTCAGTATTATTCTCTCACTTAGTCCCAGCTTACCCTTCCCTCTCCCTGTGTCCTCAAGCCCATTCTCTACATCTGTGTCTGCCCCTAGGTTCTTCAGAACCATTTTTATTTTTAGATTCCATATATATGTGTTAGCATACGGTATTTGTTTTTCTCTTTCTTTTTTTTTATAGATTATACTTTATTGAACTGTAAAAAATTGGCTATAATCCCTGTGCTGTACAATATATTCTTTTTTTTTAACATCTTTATTGGAGTATAATTGCTTTACAATGGTGTGTTAGTTTTTGCTTTATAACAAAGTGAATCAGTTATACATATACATATATCCCCATATCTCTTCCCTCTTGTGTCTCCCTCCCTCCCACCCTCCCTATCCCACCCCTCCAAGTGGTCACAAAGCACTGAGCTGATCTCCCTGTGCTATGCGGCTGCTTCCCACTAGCTACCTATTTTACGTTTGGTAGTGTATATATGTCCATGCCTCTCTCTCACTTTGTCACAGCTTACCCTTCCCCCTCCCCATATCCTCAAGTCCATTCTCTAGTAGGTCTGTGTCTTTATTCCCGTCTTGCCCCTAGGGTCTTCATGACCTTTTTTTTTTTTTTTCTTAGATTCCATATATATGTGTTAGCATACGGTATTTGTTTTTCTCTTTCTGACTTACTTCACTCTGTGTGACAGACCTTAGGTCCATCCACCTCACTACAAATATCTCAATTTCGTTTCTTTTTATGGCTGAGTAATATTCCATTGTATATATGTGCCACATCTTCTTTATCCATTCATCTGATGACGGACACTTAGGTTGCTTCCATGTCCTGGCTATTGTAAATAGAGCTGCAATGAACATTGTGGTACATGACTCTTTTTGAATTATGGTTTTCTCAGGGTATATGCCCAGTAGTGGGATTGCTGGGTCATATGGTAGTTCTATTTGTAGTTTTTTAAGGAACCTCCATACTGTTGTCCATAGTGGCTGTATCAATTTACATTCCCACCAGCAGTGCAAGAGGGTTCCCTTTTCTCCACACCCTCTCCAGCATTTATTGTTTGTAGATTTTTTGATGATGGCCATTCTGACTGGTGTGAGGTGATACCTCATTGTAGTTTGGATTTGCATTTCTCTAATGATTAGTGATGTTGAGCATCCTTTCATGTGTTTGTTGGCAATCTGTATATCTTCTTTGGAGAAATGTCTATTTAGGTCTTCTGCCCATGTTTGGATTGGGTTGTTTGTTTTTTTGATATTGAGCTGCATGAGCTGCTTGTAAATTTTGGAGATTAATCCTTTGTCAGTTGCTTCATTTGCAAATGTTTTCTCCCATTCTGAGGGTTGTCTTTTTGTCTTATTTATGGTTTCCTTTGCTGTGCAAAAGCTTTGAAGTTTCATTAGGTCCCATTTGTTTATTTTTATTTCCATTTCTCTAGGAGGTGGAGCAAAAAGGATCTTGCTGTGATTTATGTTATAGAGTGTTCTGCCTACGTTTTCCTCTAAGAGTTTGATAGTATCTGGCCTTATATTTAGGTTTTTAATCCATTTTGATTTTATTTTTGTGTATGGTGTTAGGGAGTGTTCTAATTTCATTCTGTTACATGTAGCTGTCCGGTTTTCCTAGCATGAGTTATTGAAGAGGCTGTCTTTCCTCCACTGTATAGTCTTGCCTCCTTTATCAAAGATAAGGTGACCATATGTGTGTAGGTTTATCTCTGGGCTTTCTATCCTGTTCCATTGATCTATATTTCTGTTTTTGTGCCAGTACCATACTGTCTTGATTACTGCTGCTTTTTAGTATAGTCTGAAGTCAGGGAGCCTGATTCCTCCAGCTCCGTTTTTCTTTCTCAAGATTGCTTTGGCTATTCGGGTTCTTTTGTGTTTCCATACAAATTGTGCAATTTTTTGTTCTAGTTCTGTGAAAAATGCCATTGGTAGTTTGATAAGGATTGCATTGAATCTGTAGATTGCTTTGGGTAGTATAGTCATTTTCACAATGTTGGTTCTTCCAATCCAAGAACATGGTATATCTCTCCATCTGTTTGTATCCTCTTTAATTTCTTTCATCAGTGTCTTATAGTTTTCTGCATACAGGTCTTTTTTCTCCCTAGGGAGGTTTATTCCTAGGTATTTGATTCTTTTTATTGCAATTGTAAATGGGAGTGTTTCCTTAATTTCTCTTTCAGATTTTTCATTATTAGTGTATAACAATGCAAGAGATTTCTGTGCATTAATTTTGTATCGTGCTACTCTACCTAATTCATTGATTAGCTCTAGTAGTTTTCTGGTAGCATGTTTAGGATTCTCTATGTATAGTATCATGGCACCTGTAAACAGTGACAGTTTTACTTCTTTTCCGATTTGGATTCCTTTTATTTCTTTTTCTTCTCTGATTGCTGTGGCTAAAACTTCCCAAACTATGTTGAATAATAGTGGTGAGAGTGGGCAACCTTGTCTTGTTCCTGTCTTAGAGGAAATGGTTTCAGTTTTTCACCATTGAGAACAATGTTGGCTGTAGCTTTGTCATATATGGCCTTTATTAGGTTGAGGTAGGTTCCCTCTATGCATACTTTCTCCACCTCATTTCTTTAATTCATGTTAATCCAGTATGTACCCAAGGATGCATTCTGGGGATAGATTATTACCTCGGATGCTGCTTGGTTTGACTTGTCTCTTAAGCCAGCTCTGGACTTGAAGTGGTATTGATGGTGGAAGTGTATTGTTGATGAAAAGAGGGGTTCTCAGCCCAGAGACAGATTTCCTTCTTTGTAAAACGATGTAGGCAGGTTGCATGGGTACCTAAGTTTCATTCTGGCTATGACACTGTGTGAGTCTATGAACCTGAAAATGAAAAATGTGAACTGGGGGATAAGAGAGAACACAGTGTTCGTTGGCTTGGGGAAATAAAAAAGAAATTTTCCATAGATAAAATTGATTTTATCAAATTAACTTAGTTACTTATCATTGCTAAATAAAAAAGGAACTATTTTTTTCCTCAAGGCTGACTACTGAACCCAAGACCTGCCTAGTTCCTGTTAATGGGAAAGGTAATTTGTAATTTTTAGTTTGACCACTGGGTGGCGCAATTGCTCCACATTGTTAGTAAAAACCACCGTCATTTTTAGGTGAAGTGGGTTTTCAGGAAGCTGCTGAACCTGCATCTCCTTTAGGAGAAATGTACAGTGGTTATAGCCAGAAAGGACTTCCGGAATTATTTGGTTCAATCCCTTTTATTGTTTTTTAATTGCACTATTTTATTTTATTTAATCTATGTGATATATGAATACATTCTAATTATAAAAGAATCAAGTTTTATATACGCCCCTCTTCACTCTCTCTCTGCTATGCTCATTCCCCACCTCAGAGAAAACCCACTGTTAACCCTTTGGGGTATTTCTTTAAGGTCCTTCCTTTGTAGTATACACATAGGTATATGTGCATGTGATATATGTCTTTTCTTAATGAACATTCATGCAACCTCCTGATTTTGTAAATGAAGAAAGATACAGTGTAGGATTTGGAGCCAATATTGATTTATGGGGAGAGCCTGTGCTTTAGAGTCACACAAACTTGAGTTTTAAATTTTGATCTTGCAACTTAATAGTTACCAACCTTGGCCAAGCTATTTAGTTCTCACCTGAGCCTCATTCCCCTCAACTTGCAAGCTATTCAGGTGTACTAAAAGCGATGAATACGTGCAGATGCTCCTAGCTCAGCTGGCCGGCTGTAAAGTGTTAGTTTCCTTCCCTGTCACTCTTTGCCAAGTTCAAACAGCTCAGTAGTGGAAGAACACAGTTTTCTCCATCCTGTGCCTCCTAGGAACCTTTGAAAGGTGTCAGTACATGTGTACCTGCATAATCATATGCAAAATCCAGCTTAAGGACCCAGTGACCCATAAGTATGAATCCTGCTGTTGCCAAAGCCTTCCCTGGCCTCTGTGTGTCTTGCTTCTGTCCAGATTCAGGGAAGAACTGTATTTGAGGGCTGGAGGGAAACGCCAGGGGCTCCAAAGGGCACAGGAATTCAGAAAGGCTCAGTTGACTGGGGTTCAAGTTCAGACTAAGCTCAGGTCTGTAAACTTGTGCAAAACTCCTATGTTCTCTGTGCCCAAGTTTCTTTACCTGTAAAACCAGAAAGATGAATTTGGACCCCATTAGAGCTTATACTAGTGAGTAGATAAATCAGCCATGTAGCTTATGATGCTTTCCTTTTCACCTGTTTTCCAGGAAGCTCAGAGCCAAATTGAATGTGAATTGAAACCACTTTCCTTGCCCCCAGGTTTCTGGGGTAAGTACCTTCCATTTCATGGTTCTATGTTGGTTATTATTTTAATGGTGTGAACCGTGGATCTGTAAAGGCGATGGTGAGGAGATGGGCTGGACTTCTTCTTGCTAATCCAGGCATGTGGGAGCTTCAGGCCTTGCCCTTTGAGATACTGTGGGCAGGAGGGTTTCCTACCCCTGTTTAAAATGTTCTCGTCTCAGTTTTGCCTAACAATTCCTGATATTTCATTTGGCCAATTTAGAAGATCCTTTCAGATAAGTTTGAAAATAGTTATTTAAAAATAAGATCTCTGATCTTATCTAAAACTCTCAACAGTCTCTGAGGCTTGATCACAAAACAGCAGGCACACAGGGACGCTAGTCGAATGGTGTTTGATAAAAACAACACAACCTTAAAAACATTAAAAGACCAAACCAAACCCAGAGTAACAGCGTATCTGTTTCAGTTAAGAAAGTCTTTTCCTGAAAAAACAAAGCGGGCTTTAGAGGAAACTAGATGGCTGGCAGCACAGGTCTTGAGGGCAGTTTTGCAGGTTGATGATTTTATTTCGTCTCCGGGTAGACTAGGCTCCATCAGATGGGGCCACATGCTCCCTTGTCTCTGTCTGGTTCTGAGCTGCTCACTGAGTGACAGCTCTTTCCCCCTTTACTCTGTGGATGTGAATCTCACCTCACAGTTTAACTCAGGAGGAGAAAGGGGCTGTGGAACCCACCTTGGAGATCACAACCTGCATTGTTATGGCCCTTGTTCTGCCACTGTCCATGAAATGGGAAAGGTCTCTCTATTTGGTTCGTATCCTGCCTAAATTGACCAAAGAATCTCCCGGGGTTCCTGGGGCGGGGCTCCCCAAAGGGACCACCTCTGGGACTCCCTGGATCCCTGATTTTAGGACTCCTGGGTGGTGCTTCTGAGATACAAAAGGATCAATTTTGCAGTTAAGGAGAAACGAGGAAGACACAGACCTCAGGGCAGAATCTTTCGATCACTCTGCAAAGCAACTCCATTACTGTGAATTCTAGAATGAGCTTGCTGTGGGATGAACAGGAACGGCCTTTGTCACTTGTGCAGGTTTTCTCTCATTCCAGGCAGGTGATGGGGGTGGGGAAGCAGCTGCAGGCTTTGGGTTTTAAATGAGTCTCCTGTCCTGGTGTAAAGGCTGAGCTTTCTGATGAAGAGGAGAGAGAGGCTTGGATGACAGTGGAGCCGTGGGAGAACGCCTTCACATCCCAGCAGAAGGGGCGGGAAATAAGCCTCGACAGAGTCTCCCTTGACGAGGCTTCAAGGAGGGACGTCTGTTTCTTTTCCTGAGTTAAGAGACAGGCACAGTCTACAGTCAAGGCTGTGAGCTGTGCTACTACTAATTTTATTTAAATAGAATTTCTTCTCGTTTCTGCATGAATTGCTATTGACAGTGTCTGAGCATCTCCCTCGCTAACGGTCTCCCACTGGAGAGTCTTGTCTGAGTAGAACTGTACCTAAGCCATTCAGGTCCAAGCTGCCCGGCATTCAGCAGAAGAAAGCCTGCTTGCAACAGCTGTGTTTCAATGGTCACTATCGTGCCTCTGCAGGAAGCTGGGCAGCTTTTTCGAAATGCAAAGTCAGCTAAGTCGGTGCAGTGCTGAGACCTGATTAAGAAAGCCTCCCTATTCAATTCGATTTAAGTGAAGCGATTTTCAAAATCTTAACAGTTTAGATGCCAAAGGAGAAGGAAGAAAGCCAAAACTGATGGGGAACGAAATCACTTTCCAAAAACGGGGGCTATTTTCACAATGGAAAAATCAGTTCTGAACTGCTGCGCTGGGGACAAAGTGGTAGCAGACCTGGCTTCAGGGCCTTGTCTGCAGAGTGTGCAGAGTGCCCTGACAGTTGGAAAGAGCCAGATGGCCTACCGGTTCCACTCAGCTTGGCTGCACTTGTCAATCCTGCAACAGGGCTTCTTCCTGACTCCAGACCTCTGACCTCCTTTTCTTAGAGTACTTACTTTAGAAAACTTTCAATTGTAAATTCTTTCTCTGCCCCTTGGAGAGGTAAATCTTCTCCCAGCCTCTTGCCAGGGTTATAATCCAGGAATGCCTTCTTCAAGGACCTGGGAGCCACCCCTTTGAAATGAATCATCAGGAAACTTGGTGGTCGTATCTCCCAGTCTATGTGGGCAGGTAGGAGTCTAACTGCCACAAGCACCAATTAGCAAACGCAGACGGCCTGTTCACATTGATCAACCTCCCTGCTAACTCCCTCTAGTACTTTTACACGAGCTCCCCCGGCACTTAATAACCCTCCTGCCTTGCCTTTTGTTCAGCTTCTCTCCCCTCTTGCTGCAAGAGTCCTGAATAAAATCCTTGCCTGTTTAATTCTGTCTAGTGCCATTTTCTTTGGCATTGCTCAATCCAAACCCTCTTTCTGCCACCCCCTGTGGAGCAAACTCTTCTCAGATGGAACCATCCTGGGAGATACCCCTCCCCCTACCTTCACTTCTGGTTGGAAGAACCCCATTCCGGTCCCTCTGGCTGCCATCTGTAATCCCAGAGATGCTCACCTCAGTATTTCCTAAGGAGGGAGGACATGGGGAAAGGGAAAGGAAACCAGCACTTGGTTGCTCCTTGGGTCTGATCTCTTTTTCCACAGTGGTCTCTCTATTTTGTAATTTTCTTTTAAAAATACAGTTTTAGGGAATTCCCTGGCAGTACCGTGGTTAAGACTCGGTGCTTTCACTGCCGGGGCCTGGGTTCAATCCCTGGCCGGGGAACTGAGATCCTGCAAGCTGTGTGGTGCGGCCAAAAAAATATTTTTCTCTTGTTTAAAACTTGGATGGGAAATAAGTTAGAAATGCTACGCACAGCGGGGCGAGAGAACATCCCTTGAGCCACTGCACTGGGGTTCGGGGAGGGAGTATCTCAATGGCTTTACTTAGAGAAATGTGTGGTCCCTGTGGAGTCCACATCCCACTGAGTGTGGTGCTTTAGAGACTGGGCTCTGGAGTCCGCCTGCCTGGGCTGATTCTCACCTCCACTGCTTGACGTGTGACCGTGGGCGAGTTGCCCAAGTCTCCCTGTGCCTCAGTTTCCTCATCTGTACCATCTGGGCTCCATCATAGGGTTGTCATGAGGGTTACATGCTTACATGTGAAACGCTTAGTACAGTGCCTAGCACGGAGTAAACTTCCAATAAATGCTTAGCCATAATCATTATAGTATGCACATTTTTGTTTTCTCCTGAAAGGAAGCACATTCAGTTGTTAACAACTAACCTTTGGGGAGAAACAGAGTAGGGAGGGAGATATTGCCTTTTGATTTTATACTTCCTTGTACTGTTTCAACTTTTTAACCCTATACTTCTTTTATTTAAAGATTTTAATTAACTAAACATTTCTTCCCTTTGGTAATTAAGTGAAAGAGACCATTGATAGGAAGGGAGGAAATAACTGTCTAGAAACAAGGCTTCAGTAAATCTGTGCCGTTTCAGAGTAAAATTTAATCTTGAAGAGCCCAGTTTAAAGCATGAAAATTAAACACGTGGAACAAATAAATACTGCTTATTTCAAATCCCTTCTCCTAAGTCCCTTTGATTTGATTGACTTAAAATTACATGGTAGTGCAACAGAACCACTGCTGGGAAAACACTTAATGTGTTTCAGAGGTGAACTGCCCTGCAGGGTGGCACCGTAATGTATTTTTGGGTGGAGAAAAAAATACGTATTGTTTCCAACCTGATAGCAGAATTCCTGTCAGGGTGGGATTAGCCTTTAGGAAAACTTACTGTTATCTTCTTTAGGTGTGAGGGGATTATCCTAATCCCTCTGCCTTTCTGCCCCTACTGGCTGAGTTAGAGACTAAGAGGGATGAGAATTTCTCTTTATCAGAAGCTGGAGCAATGTTAAGTTCCCACGGACAGCTGAGAAATGAGGGGACGAGAAGCTCAGAGATAGAGGAAAGCAAGAAAGCTGACCAGGGAGAGGTTCTGGGAGGAATGGTCAAGGGGAGCTTTGGAAGAAGGGTGTCTTTGATTTGAAGTTATCCCCTGTGCAGCAGTATCCTCCACAATCACTGTTCTACGTAACAGCTCTTCTGTAAGGGTTTGGGGAAATAAGGAAAGAGACTAAAAGAGGACGAAAAGAATAGCCTTAAGAGGACTGATTTGACTAAGATAATTATTTAGGGGGTGGAAGAAGTCAAAGCCAGAGGAAATAGTGCAACCTTTTTGAGAGATATTGGGGATGTTGGGTTTCCCACTGACTGGGGCCAAGGAGGCTGCAGCCGTGTCTTCTAGTAGTGTGGCAGAAACTTCCAATTGTCCCCCATCATCTATTCTTGCTTTTAACCTAGAACTTGCCTAGCTTCACCAAGGCACATGATTACCCTACTAGAGACTACATGTGCTTTGCAACTAGATGTGTCCCTTTGACCATGCATCTTGCCAATGGAAGACAAACAGAATGTGCAAAGCATGTAATTTCCCTTTCATTTCCCTTGACAGGAAGTGATTTATCTCTCATCTCCTCTTTTCCTCCTTCCATGGTCTAGAACATGGAAGTAGCAGTAAGTCCATTTGACCACAAAGATAAGGACAGCGGCTACAAGGCTTGTCAAAGCAGAGATTGCAGGACCTCCCTTTCTAGAGTTTCTGATTTCAGTAGGGTTGAGGTGGGGGCATGAGGATTTGCATTTCTAACAAGCTCTGGGGTGATGCCGATACTGCTAGCCCAGGGAACACAGGAGAATGGAGGACAACACAGTAGGAGCCTGGGTCCCTGGGTGTTCTTGTGGAGCAGAGTCACCTAACCCACTGTATTATGTCTGGACTGTTACCTTGTTGGAGCCACAGTGTTTTCGTATCTCTCTTTTTTCTAAGCAGTTGAACCTGTATCTTAATACAAATATTGCAGGTAAGGGTTACATAGTAAGGCTGGAGGACTTGGGGACTGCTGGGCAGCTGGCTCTTATGTTCGACACGGGTGATTTTTATTTGGAAAAGTAATAAAACAAAGGCAATTACTTGTTTAATGA